CGTAGCCCGAAAATCTTGCTTGATTTTATTTCCTGTCTTGCTGCCTCTGCAACACTCCCTCTGGACTTCCTCTCGCCTATTCTGTAACGTCCATCCGCTCACCATCCTCCTTTTCAACGAGTCGACTAGGTAGGAAGGCCCACAGGGACGCTGTGAATGTTAATAGGTGTTGCTGCTGATGACTGCGAGGTAACCGTTAGTGCTGTTTTACAGCTCTGTGGCCAGGAGATGGGGCCATAAGAGAAGCTGTAAGGGCATTCTGACCTTACAGCGTACTCACAGTATACGCAGCACATTCAAAAGCATGAAGAAATGACTCACTAGTATATCACTGTTGGTGTTTGCAAGGAGAGCTTCTGTTGCCTGAAGTGTGTGACATAATCTCACATTTTATTAGATATGTGGCATGTATGTGGTGTAAATATGCTGCAGATATGGAAACCGCTTTGTTTGCCCCTAAACGAGGCTCTGTTTTGACGTTTTGCTGGGATATCCTAGTTTCAGCTTTCCCAGAGTTTATTATGTTCAATGTAGTGCTGTGAAGATGAGTAAATTTATACAGGAAGATCTAGAATAAGAGAGTAAGTGTCCACAGCTCCATTTACATCTTATACTGTTTTGTTTTTGAGGTTTTATATGGATTGTTAGGCTGAACTGGGGCTATTTCACGTAACATTTCAAGTGCTTTAGATGTTTCCTGCCGCTTTTCTGCACCATTGCACAGTAACACATTATGATCCACAAAATATCTCAATGAAGGTACAGCACTGCAGTGAGCTGACAGCTAGTTGTTCCATCATTCTGCCTTAATAAGTGATCTGCGCTGAGTTTGTGCAGCCTTAATGAGGCTCTACTTCACATTGAGGGTTATTAGCCCCATAGCGGAGGAATGGCCTCTCCTAAAGCCATATACAGCTTTTAATAGTCCTTTAATGTGATTTGTCCTCCACCTGCCTGTCTCGTGCAATATGCCTGTAGACAATGATGAGGCTGAATTATTTATCTGCATCAGCTGGTGCTGATACAGACATAAAACTGCTCATAAAACTCAGAGTAAGACTCAGAGTTGTGTTGCCTGCACTGTTTGCTGAAGCTACACAATCACATGACGTCTTGGTCCAGTATAATCACGTGCAGTTGTTGAATCTTAACTACTGTATATATCTTTTCTCACTCCCCCCCCCCTAACAAAAATAATTGTAGTACAGCAAGACATGACTAATAGCTCATTATCTAAACAGTACACATTTATGTTTTGTCCAGCACCACATGTGGCCCTGTCGTCGCTTTGGTGTGAATATGTCACATCCAATAAATATTTGTCTTGCTAGAGTTTCATGCAAGTGTGAGTTCTGGGTTTGTGGGGGAGATGCAGGATACAGTGGTGGAGGACGACATTCGATGGATGGTGTGAATTAACCTCCTAAGACCCGAACTCTTCCACGACATGCATTTTTAATTTCTCTTTGATATTTGGGCTGATTGGGGCCCGATGAATGTAAAAACAAAGAATTACCAGACTATTTTTTTTACCTTATTTTTGTTTTTAAGAAAAATGAGAGCCACATATGAGGATATTCGTTTAAAATTTCGATAGAACAGTAGCAGGATAATGTCCTCATAAGTGGATATCAGGCCCATGCAGAGCAAAATTGAGTATTTTGGTCTAAATACCCCAAAATGTGACGGCAGGTCCTAGGAGAAGATTAAAAGATGGGAATTGCTCTGCCTCCTCCAGTTCATCAGGACTGTAGGCCTTCCACTTTATCATTTCCTTTTATCAGTGCTCGCATGTTTTTCTAGCAGCTTGAAAGGACACGGCTGTGGCGCTCTTGTACACCTGAGTCACATGTGAACCTCAGCTCTGGCTCATAGGTAGTAAAAACAAAGCTGAACTTACGCTGAAAACCTAAAGAAAGCCTAAACAGCAAAGTCAGGAATCAAGAAGTTGATTAGCTAAGAACCTGACCTATGAGCATAATCGATAAAAACACTGTTATCAGTAAATTCTTATCAATAGCCATACCAAGGCAATTCAGCACTGCTAGAAGAGTGAGGGTTTGGCAGGAGGAGAGTAGGATACATAATCCTGGGTGCACATGGGCAGACTGACAGACCATGGGGAAGAGTGAGAGAGGGAGAGGGAGGAGAAAACTGGAAAGCAGAGAAGGAAGTGCATTATAGTGGAGTGTGAGGCAGAGAGGGAATGTAGTTGAGAATAGAGGAGGAGGAG